GTAGGTACAGTGTTCATAGTGACATGTAGGTACAGTGTTCATAGTGACATGTAGGTACGGTGTTCATAGCGACATGTAGGTACGGTGTTCATAGTGACATGTAGGTACGGTGTTCATAGTGACATGTAGGTACGGTGTTCATAGTGACATGTAGGTACGGTGTTCATCGTGACATGTAGGTACGGTGTTCATAGTGACATGTAGGTACGGTGTTCATAGCGACATGTAGGTACGGTGTTCATAGTGACATGTAGGTACGGTGTTCATAGCGACATGTAGGTACAGTGTTCATAGTGACATGTAAGTACAGTCTTCATGGTGACATGTAGGTACAGTGTTCATAGTGACATGTAGGTATGGTGTTCATACTGACATGTAGGTACGGTGCTCATACTGACATGTAGGTACAATGTTCATAATGACATGTAGTTACGATGTCCATAGCGACACAATTTCAGAAGAAATGTTTTTTACCCCCTATTAAAAGACTCTGTTATTACTGAATTCATAGCTCGTTTCAAAATAATTCAAATTCAAGAGATTCTTGTCGAATTACTGAAGTATCGGCTGAAATTAGTTTTTTGCTCTTTATTTTCCTGGAAAAAATATTCCTTTGATGTTTCTGAAAATGATCTGCTAAAAGAAATATTACATTTGAAAACAAAAAAATCATCCAGCCAAGTTTGGAACCAAGCATCTCTCTTGAATGAATTTGTTGAACAAAGTTTCAGAATTTAATTAAGCTGTGTACAATGTGCGCAAATGTAATCGTTGCGTCACGTGTTCTTTTGTCCAATGTCCAGTAAGTGTGGCAACAGAAGCGCGGACATTTACTAAGCTCAACTTGATCGAAATTGAATGATGTGAACTTTGACCTGTGTCAAACCCCTGTTTTTACTGGATTGGCTAATTCATCAAGTACTTTCACACGTTTTAACTAGTCGTACTAGCAATGAATCAACTCAAGTCCCTTTTTAATAATTAAAACAACTTTAAGTTATAGTGTACATTCACAGACTGTTAATTCCACATAAGCATGGATGGCGCAGCTCGCTATCAGAGAGAAATAAAACACAGCCTCCTTTCACAAAGATCCTTTCACGAATGCAAAGGCGTAGCGATGGGGGGGGGGGGGCAGGGGACAGATGCCCCCGGGCGCAATCTAGTTAGGGGCGCCAAAATGTCCTTTGATGTTATATTATTGGTAAAAATAATGGGTACGCTATCAGAGAGAAATAAAACACAGCCTCCTTTCACAAAGATCCTTTCACGAATGCAAAGGCGTAGCGATGGGGGGGGGGGGGCAGGGGACAGATGTCCCCGGGCGCAATCTAGTTAGGGGCGCCAAAATGTGCTTTGATGTTATATTATTGGTAAAAATAATGGGTTTTACAGTTGAAAAAAAGGAAAGGAGGCGCTTTAAAAAGGATCTTGTCCCCGGGCGAATCTTGTCCCCGGGCGCCAAACATCCTCGCTACGCCACTGCACGACTGCCAGACGAATAAAACGAAATTCACACAACAGACTAGACAATACGTCATAATAATCATAAAAATACGCCACCAAGTAACTAACAAAACTCTCAAACACATACCGTGCGTAATGAAACATTATTTCCAGCTACTCGCAACAATTATCAATGAACTCCCACACTCGACAACCTGGTCTTGTTAAGAATTGAGCCTCTTTTAGCGTGGAAGCTTAATTTTTGCAAATAAATTGATGAATTTAAAACAAGAAAAAAAAAAACAAAAAAAAAAAAAACGAACACACAAAAAANNNNCAGCTACTCGCAAAAAATATCAATGAACCCCCACACCCGACAACCTGGTCTTGTTAAAAATTGAGCCTCTTTTAGCGTGGAAGCTTAATTTTTGCAAAAAAATTGATGAATTTAAAACAAGAAAAAAAAAAACAAAAAAAAAAAAACGCACACACAAATAAAGCTTATCACACATACACATGATCATCCATATTCAAATGCCGCAAGGTACTGAACTCATAATATCCATTTCTCTGGGGCCGGAATCGAGATACCGACGGGATCGGGATCCCACCGGGATCTGGATTCCCCTGGATCCGGAGCCACAAGAAAATGGGATCCCAGCGGGATGGGGATCACACCTGGAAAAGGGTTTGCGCGGGGATTGGCGTCAAAATGGGATTGTGGTCCCAATGGGATCGGGGGTCCCACCAGGATCGGGGTCCTAATACAATCCCGGGCCACGCCGGGTATATCCGCTAGTATTTATTTATTTATATAGGCATTTTTGTGTAGCACTTACCTTACAGCTCTAAGCGCTTTACAGTTATTAAAAATATGTAAACTATTTAAACTGCTAAAGTAAAATAAAAATGAAAAACCAGAGACACTAGAATAGTAACTACAATGTGAAAAATGACAGTATTATAATATATATTATATATATTGTTATATAGAGCTTGTTTACCTATTTTTTCTCGTGCGTGCCCTCTGATTGACCCCGCATGAGACGCTGTGTTCACAAAGGGGTGTGGCTTGGTCCTTTGATCTATTCGTGTTTATGCCGCCAGCTACTAAAAATAATTAATCTGTTCCAAATAGTATTTTGTAGAATGAATGTGATTGTTCTAGAAATGCCATGTACCTTATCGAAGGCAGGGCTTAGGCGTCGGTAGACCCACCTATATAAGGGATTGACAGGCACGGACGAGGGGACGGAGATTCAGAGAGATTTTATTAACTTTACGAGGGGTGTTTTATTCTTTGTGTATTTGTGTGCTCATATGTGTTTATTTTGCATTATTTATTGGCACATTATTCTAACTGTGTTAACTGTGTACCGGTACAAGATCTACCATACTGTAAGTTGAAGATTGTAATAATATTTTCTTTTCTTTTGTAATTATCTTAAGACTAAATAAATCGTATTAATTGTAATTAGAAACTGGAAACTGTTTTGGATCGTATCTTTAATATTGTTGATTCTATGGTATCGTCCTTTGTTAGGCACTGTTTACAACGAGCCAATTAAAATTAAAATAGGAGATTAATTTCTCCCAATACAAGTCAGTGCGAATATATATATATATATAGTGAAAGTTTGTTTGTTTGTTTGTTCCACAAAGGCGTTTACATAGATTCATCTCTTAAGGGGTTATGAACTTTTTATTACATTACGTTAGGGGCCTCGGCTTCGAATTCGTTTTTTTCCTACATAAGCTATATAAATAAAATTAACAACTACTCCTACATGATTAGATAGATCTTGACCAAACTTAGTAAACATACACTTGATTATCCATATTCAAATATCAAAGGGTACTGAAGTCATAATATCCACCTCTCTGGGGCCGGGGGCCCTGTTTCATTTTTTCGTATGTAAGCTATAAAATATCAATAGGCTTAGACAACACTATAGGTTCTGTGTGAATTGATGGATATAATATAAGCCTAGCGTGGTAGCAATACACTTCACTGTCCGTATTGAAATATCAGTGGATTTAAAACTAATAATATCCATTCTAGAACTTTTCAGAAAGTTCTATAATTTTAAAAAGCTAAAGCTATGGCATTTTAAAGTAGATTTTAATGGGACACATTTTAAATTTTAACTCTATTATTTATCTGTCTCATATTTCTAGGGCCCCCTATCTCAGGCATAACTAAATCGGTACAGTTATGGAATGGGCCCCCGGGGTCCCTTGATTAACTTAAAAGAAAAAGGATTATAATACTGGCATTTGTTGAAGATTTTTATCGTATTCGAAAAATAATTAGAAACGTAGTTTTTACACATGTTTCGATCAGGTTATTAAATTTAATCTAGAATGTTCCAGAAAGTTCTAAATTGTTACAAGTAGATATTTAGTAGGATCTAAGGGATTATTGAAATGTTATTTAGTTCTATTCATTTCTATACTGCCCCAGAGTTTACTGTTCACTGAGTACAACTGAAAATTTTTTTGATGCGGGATCCCAAATGGTTCGGGTTCCCATCCTAATCTTTATCCCAACGGGACCAGGATCCAAACAGAAAAGGGATCCCACCGGGAACGGAATCCTAACCTTGAACGGATCCACCTGGATTGTGTTCACACCGGGAAACGGGACTACTTTATCTACTAGCGGATATACCCGGCGTGGCCCGGTGTAGAAAAAAAAAAGCATAAAACTTTTAAAGTTTTGCATTCTTTACAGGTCGCTAATTCTAATTTCAAATCCGTTACTAAAAATGTACAAGCTCTAACAACTTGTGAATTGTAGCTAAGTTACAACAAGGGGTTCTTTTGGAAAGGAAAAAAAAAATAATTAGATGGGATTGTTAATATGTTAATACTTATAGGCCTATATATTTGTAAATGTTATGTCTTACTATTTTGATTTTAGAAAGGAAAAAAGAACACGAATTAAGGGTAGTTTCATACAATGAAAATTTTGGGAAAATTAAGTTACCCAGGTGATCTCAAAAGGGTTTGCGAGGGGATTTATCTGGGGGCGCCGTCTCAAACAATAGACTAAGAGAAGCGGTAGTTTTTAAATAGTTTTCTTTTTTTATTTGGAGTCTTAAAATTTGAGCTAAAATTTAAATCATGTCAATAAAATACTTGAAAATTTATTTTTAAAAATATGTTTTCCATTCCAAATTTCTCCCCCTATTTAGACTCCCTTATATCGTGGTAAGGGTCACTCTGCTTCTTTATAAATATGGTCGTGACTTGAAATGATTTTGTACCTGTGTACTAGAGCTACTGAGCTTAATAATTCAGCGCAGTGAATTATATTTTACAGGTAATCGTGTAGCGATAATTTGTTTTTGTTGTTTTTTTTAAATTAAAAAAAATTGTATTCTTTAAGTATGTACTCGAGATTTCCTGGGATTGAAAAATTTCCCAGGTATTCTTGTATTTACATCGTTGTCCAGAAGAGAAACCCTAACGCTAAGACCCTAACCCTAAGACTTTGACGTTTGAGAAAACCTAGTGCCACAATTTCCATAATTATTGTGACTAGCCTACATGGATTAAAATATTATGGACTTATTTTCCAGCTCAAATAAAAAGCTTAAGCTTCCGGTTGTTGAAATTTGTTTTAGGCATTGAAAAGGTTGGATAGAAGTAGAAGTTAGAAGCTATAATGTTGGTAGGTGCTTTCTGGTGATTGTGAAATACGTACACATCTTCTACGCAGTTTTTAAAGATGTCAGTATACCACGACGAGATTGAAATAGAAGATATGGAATTTGACGAAGATACCGAAATATACTATTATCCATGTCCATGCGGTGACAGATTTGAGATCTCGAAGGTAAATAACAAAAATTGTGGCAAATCACGACTCGAGTCACTCTCGGTTAACCCGGCCAATATATTAATTATATTAGCATAAGTATTACTACAGCAACATTGCCATTTATAATGTTTTATTAAAGCAAGAAGAGTCAAAACCCTGTTTTAAAACTGTTTACATATACAAGTGGTGAACAAAATTGCTTGGGCTTAAGTATTAAGACATGCAATATGCAAAGGCAAAAGTTTGGGAAAATGAGGGCCAACCAGTGTGTGACTCGAGTTAAGGCTATCCACTTCTATAAAATGAAGTAGAGGAAGAAAAAATCCTCTGCAATAGGATGATTTGCCACCTCCCTCATATAACAAAAAAAGTGCCTTCTGGCAGCTTCTGGTGTGAAATTGTGTAGTGTAGGGACTAGGGAGGTGCTTTCTGGTGATTGTGAAATAGAAGCTACACAGTTTTTAATAATTATTTCAGTTGTTAGTATACCTGAGATTGAAATAGAAGATATGGAATTTGATGAAGATACTTCATGAATTTGATCGCAGTCCTTCATTTATCATCTTTTATTGTCTGACACTTGACTGCTACTACCTGTGTACCGGTATACTTGTCCACACCTTGTTGTTACAGTTACAGGTGCTCTGTTTCTCGTCATATTTTCATTTGTCCTGTTTGCTGAGGAAGGCTCTAAGCTGAAACGTTCACATCTTATTGTCCTGTCTTTTGATTCAAGCTTCATCATACCTTGTTCTATTTGAACGCAGTCCTTCATTTATTATCTTTTTTTTTCTGGGGTGAACCATTGCCCTCCCCCTTTCCTACGCTACTGAAGCGGAGCATTAATCAAATTATTTTTATACAAGATTGTTAAAGTTTCAATATTTTTTTCTACTAATACCTAAGATGCAATGAATTTTGGTACCTTGTACTCTACTTGTAGATGTTAACAACCATTGCATGAAAAGGTAAAGGAAAATATCATTCTAGTTCTAGCATCTACTCTTAACTTCCCTGAGAATTTCATGAAACCTTATTGGTACAGTGGTTGTAATTTTACATTGTGAACATCAGTTTACTATGGACCTTATACCTAATTCATATGTGCACATATTCTGTGATAAAACATGACAACTAAAGTTTGCCAACTTGATAATAAGCTATTTATTTCCTCATTTTTATTAACAAGCTTCATTTTGGTGTGCCCAACCACTGTGTTTTTCATTCCATGGGAGTCCATCCGCCCTGAGAAATTTAATAATTTAAATTTTGTAAATTAAAAGTGATGGGCTACTTTTACTGTCAATAGTTTTCTTTTTAAATAAGCCGAGGCTCTTCTATCAGATGAGTCCCTTATTTTGAAAATATAACTTATGTTGTGACCGCTTCAAGTCATTTGGTGCCACATATTTGGATCAAGTGCCATTATTAATAATGGATCTGTTTATCCAAACATGTATACTGACTCCCATTTTTTTATAAATAGCTTTGCAATCTCATTTTCGTGTGTGTATACTTGTCCTCAGGAAGAACTGGAGAGTGGAGAAGATGTTGCAAAGTGTCCCAGCTGCTCACTACTTATCAAAGTTATTTATGATTTGGTATGACAGTCTATTTTTATTAATTTCACCTACATATGTTTTTAGTTAAACAGTACAGTATTTAAAAAAATTTAATTGTTAATTACTTCATCATCTTTCTACTCATTTATTATTTGCTATTGTACTGCTATTCCTATCATGAGTTAAGATATCTTATTTTTCCATGTCTACATTCCAGGACACTTTCATGGTTGGTGAAAAAGCTGTAACATCTACAAAAGGTCATGCTGTTGCAGTTGCTTAGTAATTCTCAAAAAAGTAAAACAAAACTTTCTGGAGAAATTCATTTCACTAACAAAACATTTGAATTATGTTGATACTGGGATATTAATTGCACTTCGGACAGGCAGATTAGAAGCTCAATGTGCAAAAATGGTGATAATTTTGCATACCGGTATCTCTTAAGTGTTTTAACCAGAAGTCATGCCTGTGTTTATTTGGACCAGCATGACTTATTCAGATAACAGGAATAAATGGAGTAATGTTTACTCCAAAATGGTGCTTAATTTTGTTTCATGTATTAATATTTTATTTATGTATTGAGTCCACGTTTTAATCTGGTAATTTTGTACAGGAAGACATTTTACCCAAAAATAAAAAATTAGGATGATTTATAATGAAACTAATTCTTTTATACTTTTAAAAAAATATCTGTCTAATGATTAAGTTATGAAATATTTTTTAAACTAATTATACACTGGTATCAGTTTATATGTCCTGTAATAAAATGGTTTCTGTAAAGAAAAAGTAGTTTTGAGAATATGCTTTTTCTCTTAACTTGTTATTCAATGTCTTGTTATCAAAATGTGAAAGTAACAGGGGAACAATAAATACTAATTGTAATTGTACATTAAATAAAAAGATTAGGTACTGTACAGTTATTTTACATTTCATTATCACACATTTTTAAACATGTTTATTCTTTGATATATTAACGTTAAAGACTAAAAATAAAGATTATGCACATATCTTTTATACATCATTTATCAGCACAAACGTAAAACGTGATTTTATAAAACTTGTCATCAATCAACATATTTTATTAAAAAGTTAATACATATATACATAATAATAGGCACCATGCCTCCAAATATATAATCCCACAGCACGAAAGGATTTACAATGTGTTCATCGGATGTGGTGAATCTTTTCTCATAACTCACAAATAAATTTTACATTCATTCCTGAAAAATAAGGAGTAACATTATTCATTTGCTCATTTGACATTGTATTGCCTCAATATAGTGCTGATCCGCCTATATTCAAAAAAATTATTTTATGATAATTCATTAAAGCAAAACAATTGGAGCATCAAGGACATTTTTAAAAATTTGAAATAGCTGTGCTGGAGAACTGTGAAACATTTTCAATTTTTGGCACAGCTTATAATCACTTTAAATGATGAATACCAGCTTGCTTTGAACATTTAATAAAAGAATCTATAAGTAAATTGTTTTATTACTAGTAACTTAGGGTCACTGAATAGCTATAGGTTATTTATATTACGGTAATACAAAAATGTATTCCGTCTTTAGACCATCATAACGGTAAGATATTTCAGTATTAAATGATAGTGATATAATATCCATGGTTTATAAAATGCTCTTGTTAAGACCATTCCTGAAAATAAACAGATTAAATTTTTTCATGGGGTCTAAATTTTACTAGTTAGTATCTTATAGTAAACTGATAGTAGTGATAGACTAGACAGGTTATCTTCATTAATTTAATTATCAAGGTTGATAAATAGAAAAATGATTTTATTACCAAACATAAATTTTGCTTTGCTTTCGCAGTTGGGAAATCTACAAAAAAGCATACTATACTGGTGCATAAATTCAACAACTCCAATCCAACAAAATCATCTGTCATTTTCAACAAAGCCCTTAGGGTTGGTTACATGAAAAATGGTATAATTTTTTTACTAAAGCTATATATTCAAAATTGTTTAATATTTCACTGCCATAGCAGTTAAATAAATACATTTCATTCACATCGTTAAAAATCTGACAGTTGTTCTTCAGGATGCTCTCACTTTTGCTTGTGTTAATCCTCAGTCTCCATAGCATAAAATGAAATCAATTATAAATGTATTAAAAATTCTTATTTATAAAGTATGTTTTCTTGTTACTAACCAGGCAAGACAGTAATTTCCGGCACTTACATTTACATGTTAGGTATTTCATATAAAATAATGATTGATTGCTTCATCACAAGTACCAAGAGGTTTCATTTTTTAATAACTCTATATTTATAAAATATCTCGAGCTTTAAAAATAGAGAGGGTATTTTGTTAATTTCTCCACGAAGAATCTTAGTGCAGGTACACTCATTCATGGAACATATATATATAGGCAGCTATTCTCTCTGCATAATTTCAACTACAATTAAATTCAAAAGAATTAGATGCAACGTCAGCTAAAACTTTAAACTAAACCAGTCGTTTGAAAATCCGGCACATTAGCTTTTCGTTGATGTACCATGACTGAGCCCTTGTTCCAGGGTCGTGACCAATGTTCCCTCTAAGGTTTGCCGCTTTGTGTGCAAAATCATACAGTTGTGTGCAAAGTTTTTTTACAGCATCAAATTTTTGTGTGCAACATTTCACAGCCCACAAACACAGATGGATATTACATAAATGAACTTAAGTGCAAAACTTTTAGATAAATAAATAAAGGAACTATAATTAAATAATTATCAGAAATGTCAAAATAGTTTAATCAAAGCTATACTTATTTCTATTATTTATCCTGTCATTGTGTCAAGCAACTAAATTCCAGCACACCCACTACCAATGACCGCTAGTCATTTGATTGATTCATTTTTGGAGGTACTTGGGCGTCTGTCTTTCAACGATAGGTATCAATCTTTTAAACACATCGTCAAGGTTGATCTGATGTCCATCGTTCTGATACGATTAGAATACTCAGTCACAAACAGTACTCATGATGAACTGGATCATTATACAGGCCCACCTGCTCCTAATAGTTTTCCTTCTAATTTGATCCCCACTTTTTCTTTGCAAGCGATGACCCTGACAGTTCGCTTAACTCACGTTTTGACATAACAGTTAAACACTATTAATAATAATTAGCTACTACATTTATAATCAACTAGAGATAGGCGCTTTATTTACTTTATACACATTCACTGCACAGTATGCGCAACAAAATTTACATTACATGAAAGGCAGCATTGGTTCAGAACGAGGCTAGCTTGATTTGGTATGTATCAATATGTTTGTAAATCAATCAATTCTATGTAAAAAGTAGAAAACAAAAATAAAGATTTGAATTAAATTAAATACATGGATGTGCATGTTATAAAAACTTTATAATTCCGGTGGCTGAGTGCAGCATATCTGTATGAATTTATTTTGATAAAAATTTGCTGCGCAGATACTCAAAACTGCTGAGCGGCGTCTGTGAGATAGCTGCGTGGCCGTGCAGCTTAAAGGGAACATTAGTCGCGACCACTAACTCTTGGCATATGTACACATTCAACAAACCATTTAATAATTGTTGTCCATTACTCGATCATGATAAAATTGTGACAGCCCCCAACTGAAATTCCATCCAAGGATTAAAGAGAGTATATAAATAAGCAGCACGGCAGTCATTGGGAACAGGAGTGTTCTTGTATTCTTCAAGTATGGAAGCGCTGTTGATAGGAAATTAAAATATACTTTATAATTAATAATATGGATATTAAATTACTATTGTTAAAACACCAGTACAATTATCATTCCGAATCTGTTTTTACTTAACTGATTGTACAAAGGTAACAGTAACAGATCTAGTTCTTATTGAGAAGAGAGGAAAAAGACAAAATCTATTTTCTTTTCTTAATTCCAAAACTGCTGTGAATTTCTGTGCTACCAGGTCCTAAAAATTACTTGGTCAGTTTGCTAGTCTACCTATATACCTATAAGTATAAGCAACCTACATAATAACTTTTAACACATGCAGCCCAAAGTTTAGTGTTGGATACATAAGAGTTAATATGTCAGAGAACTATAATAATACAACTACACTGTTGTATTTTTAAAAAAATTTTTTGGACTCATCGACTGTACCGGTACTCTAGTTCCATGTTTTCCATATTTTTGACAGACTAATGCTTATATTTTCACCGATAGAATAGATTCCATAGCTAATGACGAAAAAATTAGTTAAAAGCTACACAAATAAAATTACAGAAAATAGCTTCAAAAAGTTCTCACTCAAGTGGAACAATCAATTCAATCAAACATTTCAACTTTTGAACTAAATATCCATCATTTTTAATTGTCAATGATAAAAAATAAAATAATTATTGAAAACTTACCACTGTATCCCAGAAATGTAATATAGATATAATAGCCAATGGCAAGAAGCCACAGTGTATTGCCGAAAAATCGTGAGAAGAACATATCTTTGTTTATTACATCTGTTGATATAAAAAAATAAACTAAGAAACTTGTACGCTTTTTTTATGGCAAATCAAACTTGAGGAACAAAAGTTTTTGTTTAAAAAGTATGTAATCTTCTGAAGTTATAAATATAAATTGTTGAAATATTTTTATTAATGCTCACTACACTCAGAAATATGTGAACATAGCAATACTTTAATTTTAATTACAAATTTTAAGGAAATATTATTGGTGGAAGATGGGTTGTAACACAGCATTCCCCTACTACATGGTGAACTCCAAACACTTAAGCTTTTGAACTGTTTCTATTTCTTGTCTTGTCTGCTGAAGAAGGCTCTTAGCTGAAACATTCTCCTTGTAGTTGTATTGCCCTGTCTTTTGATTTCAAGTTTCAACATCCCTTGTTCCACCATTTCCTTCACACAGCTTATTATCCTAAAGATTGTAACTCATTCAACTCTGAGCGCTCAGAAATAGTATTATTGGAAATCCCAGCCAAAGGGAACAACCCCACCTTTACCGTAAAAATATCTTATTGTCCTGTCTTAGGAATCAAGCTTCCACACACCTTGTCCTAATATTCCCTTACCGTAAGAAGGTTTTGAATTTTTTTTTTTAAAAATCTATTTTATTGATTTGCATTTATTGATTTGCATTCATACATAGTTGCTTTATGTGTTGTGGAAGTGTAACATTATTTCCTAATACTTTTGTGTAAATTAGTGAAAGTCAATTTTAGACAAAGTAGATGACTACCAATACTAATAATGATCATAACACTAAAATAACAATTCTGCTTTTAAAATAATTAATACCCCTCACCCAATGAATAAAAATATTTAAACAAGACAGGAGCTTTCTTTGGTCTAGTTTCTATCAAGAATTTCATTTATATTGAGAGATTTATACTTTCTATATAGCAATGTGTAAGCAAAGGGTTGAGTGGCCGTGGAGTAACGGTGCTGAATCAGCACCAGCTGGATTTTGCCGTTATGAATAGGTTTAACTGTTGGTCTGAATTTTCATACAGGAAAATCTGGTCTAAAAAAATAATTCAGTTAATTCAACCCATACTTACAAGTTAAGAAAGGCAGCTGAAAGAAATGTAAGATCATAAGAAGTGGAAAGAAAGCATTGAGGTGGACATCAAATGCATAGCCCCACTCCACATCTTGCCCTCTTGGTGGATTGATCAACATGTAACGATTTGAAATGAACCTGGAACAAATTGCAAATAACATTAATGCAAGATTACATAGATAATTTAGTTTTATATATAGTGTTGGGATTCATATTTATTAAAGTTATTTTTAATAAAAGGGAAAACAAATATAAGCTGTTAGTCCTGTCTCAATTTTGTGATGGAAAAAATGCATAGACAAAAATTATAAAAACTTACCAAAATAGGGATGCAATGAGAAGTCCAACACCAATGCAGTCCACAAATATGACCCATAAGAGAAATTTTATGAATCCCAAAAAGCCAAGACTTAGAGCAAGAGTGAAACCAAAGGATGATGCTAAAAGAAATAAGAAATTTATATAGGCATTAAAACATTAGTCATAACCTATGTAAACCTTCATTAAAATCTTAATTTCTTTCTATTTTGTAAGATTGCCTTTAAACCAATAGAGTAAAGTCTGCGATATTCTTTGATCGATAAACATTTACTTTCTTTAATGCAACAAGCTTTTTTTTTTAAATTACGACCATAATGTAGGGTAAAAGGCATCTATTGGCATTAAACAGAAGAAGACGAAGATAAGAAATAAGTTATATAAATTATTGGGATGAAAATGTACTCTTTAACTATATATACTGTATATGTTGTTTTTTTTATTACTTTTTTTTTTTTAGCTATGCAGCCCCACTTATTCTTTTGATATTCCATTAGTTTCAAAAAGTGTTTTTTTTTAGATTAGCAAAAAACGTGTAGTCTTTTTGTAAATGATGATATTAAAAGAAAATAATTGTCAGATGCAGACATAAAATTTTAAGCTACCATACAGCCTTTCTATAATGAACTAATTCTCCCTTGTTTTAAGCAAAACTGAACTCTTGCCAGCTCAAAATTTTACATAGAGCTCTAAGTAATCTGGTACCAGGTACAACTGAAATTAGCAAATCAAGAAATGTATTGATATTTGCTTAGAATAATTCTAATTGCTAAAAAAAATTAACAGATAATATCCAACATTTAAATGTAAGTGGAAGAAAGAATATTTATAGGCCTACTATTAGTACTATAAATGGAACTGAGATCATGGCTTCCCATGTGACGTGTTAAAGATTACTGTAAAGTTAAAGGTTATTGTCAAGTTCAAGGTTACTGTCATGTTAAAAGGTTACTTTCATATTAAAAGGTTACTGTCATGAGATGCCCATTAAAATGGGCAGTATGTTTTAGTCAATTTTTATGATGTAAAGATATGATGAAAATGAAAAAAAAAATGCTGTTTTAAAAAGGTAAGATCTGAGTAGGTTGATGTTAATAAAGAAATAATTCAAAGGATTATGATTTCATTTTTTTAAAATTAATTATGATGAAAGCAAAATTAGACTCTGATTGTGACAATCTATTGACCATCTAGTGATAGTAAAGTAATATTTGCTTTGTACAATAAAAAAACAACAAGGTCTTATTCATAGCCCTGGTTTCTATGAAAGTGCTTACCAGTACCTATTATTTTAAGAAAATTTTCTCCTTTTAATAAATTTTATTACCGGTATAAACACAACTTGCAGGAAAAATTAAGATCGAATAAATAAAATTCACATCATTTTACATTCAATCTTAAAATTATGTTTTCCCAGTTTGGGTGTTTATGAATATTTGCCTTGGAAGCCCAGGGGAAAGATGATTTCAATTTAAGGACAGAGAGTAAAGGGTTAAAGGATTAAAGATTATTATTAGTATGTATATAGTCATTTTGATTTTTATTTTGTGTGAAATAAAGAAATTGTGTGTACATGTAATTTATTCAAAAACAATGCTGTAGATAGAGATAATTATATGTAAATCATTACCACAGAGCCAAAATGTAAGAAGCACAAGAAATGCTGGATCATCTCTAGCCCACTGGTCTTTGGTTTCTGAAAATGATAATGAATATTTTAATGATAAGAAATCTATATTTAAATATTTTAACAACCCAGCCTGATTAAAAATTTAAACTGACACAAATTTTCTCCACAATTAATAAAAAAATCAAGAGTTATGGAAAATTTAATTCTCAAAAATGTATTTCTTGTTTATTAACTAATATATTTTTTCAATCATACTCACGTTTTCTATACTGAAAGTTCCTGTACCTATTCAGAAGAAATAAAACATTAATGAGTCCATGTGTAAAAAGTAATAAATTGTTCTAATATTATTGAAAATTGTTTCTCTTAAATATCCTTTTTATCATTCCTATCAATAATTCTAAGTTTAAAAGTCATCTCCAATTTTTTTTACCATGAATCTGATCATTTTCTTTTAAAATGGGGAAAAAGTTTGATTAAAATTTTGATTATTATTTTAATAAACAAGTTACTCAATGAACAAGATGAAGCGTTACAACATCAATTGTCACTAATTTATTTGTAAAAATCACATATTATAAAAGCTTACACTTTTTGAGGAGAAACAAACAAATAAATCATCTGCCAGAATGCGTATTCAAAATCCATTTGTCTAAATTTGAATAGACGTCTGAAAAATTTCTGCCGCTTTGCTGTTGCAGTGAGATGAGCATCACGTTTTTGGGAACCCGTACTGCCATTACTGCTTGTCCGACTCAGAAATGGGGAAAGTTGTGGAGATGAAGGTGTAGGGGAAACTGAAGGAGATACTTTAGTGTAGGATGACATCACTCAGGACTGGCTACTTAAAGTATAGAAAGTTTAAGCATATTTAAGAAAGACATTTTATGAAAGTTGTCAGTAAAAGAAAAAAAATTCAGTTTTTAAAAAAAAAGAAAAATTGATATGTACCCTACATTGTAGGCCTAAACAAGGTGTGGGAATCTACAGCTTGCGGGCCTCATACAGCCTGCTGAAACGTTTAATGCAGCCCCCAAGACTTTGCAGGAACTAGATTTTTTTTTTTAATGTACAAATAATGAATAATTATCGGCATATGTCATGATATGTCATGTAAAAAGCCTTTGAAAATTAATAATCACAATATAAAATATATATTTATTATCTTGAGCTCTGCAACCTCTGTGCTGCTGCATACTGGTGTGCGGCAAGATGATGTTAGATGTGCCTCTGCAAAATTTCACAGAGATGATGAAATTCTGCAAAGACTTAACTTTAACAAATTCGTTGACGACACAAAATGGACAATGATTAGCTAAGTAAGTAACAAGGTTGCAAATATTTGAAGTCGAATAGCACAACACATTTTCACTTTAAATTTAGTGGATCTCATGACAAGTCACCATCCCAAGTCATAAAAACATTTCCATTTACTATTTACTAGGATCAATAAAATAATTTTATCCTCTCTATTAAATAACCATTTGAAAAGCACTTTAACTTTTTCCGGATCAACACGATATTTTAATAACTGATGATCAAGTGGTAAATTAACATTTTTTGGGCATTTGGTTTGACTTTAATTAATAATACTTATCACTAGAATCTCAGGCCTTCATCATAAAGTCCAACATTAAATTTTAAAGATTTATAATTCAACAAGAAAGACCCAACTTAGAAAAAAGTTATTTCAGTACCATCACGCACATTAATTTTTTAGTGGCTCGACCGATATTCAAGTGAGTCCTTAAATTTTAGTGTTACCTTTGCACGATAAAATATTCAGGCCTCTAATAGGTAAGCATTATGAGCATTAGGTTGTATATTTCAGGCAACTTTATCATCAAAACAATTCTGGAGTTGCCAGCGAATTAACGGAAGTAAGTATAAGATATGTGTGTGTTATTGCGCCTGCGCCTGTATTAAGGGACTTAATGCTTATTTATACTGACATATTAATATATTTTTTTATTTACTTATTTAGAAAGTACAGAAAATAAATGGGCTAACGTATGCGTAATTTTTTTTTCTAACTTGGAATTTGATAAGAAAAAATGCACATTCTTAATTTTAAAAAAAACCCATGCCCATACAAATATGTTTCTTTTAAAAAAAATAATAATGTAATTTAGAAGAGGAAATTATGAAACTTTAAAAAAAAAATGGAAATCGTTTATGTCTATAAATTAATATAACGTCTGAGTCCAAAAAAATAATGAAATATAAAGGCTCATATTTAAAGAATGTTTGATGCTTGACCCTAATAAATTTTGGGTTTACAAATTAGTCGGTCATATAATGTTAACAGCCCGCTTGCGCTCTTTGTGAACCGATCCACAGCCGTTTAAAAATAAAAACAATAGCAAAATTGGGATCATGTATATTATATAATATATAAAATAGTGAAATAATTCAAGTTGGGTTCCTCTGATATTGTAAGTTTGTAAGCAGTCTTATTTAGTCATACAGATCACGCCATGATACGCTTAACACTTCATATAGTTTTATTATTAATATAATTCAGCATAAATAAGTATAACTAATAAAAAAAATAATTAATTAGTATGATTCCCGATCACAGTCAGAATCAGTGAATCAGATGCAGCAAATCAGCAAAGGCAAAGGCAAAGGCCTCAAAATTCAATGATCAAACAAAAATGAATAATGAATGATACTGAATGGGACAAGGATGAGGCTATCATTATTACTACTATTTTGTGCAGGCCTGCACTAAACTATTGGCACTATTGACAATTGACTGAATAGTATTGACTGACTATTTTTTTGACAAATGCCTGGGCTTGGTGTCAGTTCTTAAGTCGTTTAATTTTAATCTAGTAAAGTCTAACATAAATAAATCAATATTCAATATGATAATTAATGAATGATTCCATAGTTCACCTGGCATCATAACAAAAAAAAAGGGAGGGGGGGGGGGCGAATTCTTCATAGCAATTCAGATGCTATAAGACTATCAATCACAGCATTTTGGTTGGTGTAAGACTGTAAGTGTGAGTCAGAAGTTGAAATTAAAAAAGTAACATTATTAAATTAATATTTCTTTGACTTTTCTTGTACTTAATTTGAAACATAGCGCAGTGTCATAAATCTATCAGTATAGTTCCTTTAATTTACAATGTAGGCCTAAACTAATATATACATTACATTTATTTATATATGAAGGAGCTTAGATGACCATGTAATGCTGATTTCAGTAGCGCACAATATGAAATTCCCCATAATTGCACCAAACAACATGTAAATGTGTGTTTAATTGACACATTTGAACTCCTTTGTCAAAGCTCAGTGAAGTTGGAAAAGGGAATATAGTGGATAGTTTGAAACAAAGAACATACTAATTTTTCCATTTTCCAAATATACAGTTCAGGTGCTAAGAAACATAATTCTGAGGATAAATATGTTTGTATTAAAACATATATTGTAAATATTTGGTTAAAATACATTTAAATGAGAAAGAACAAGATTGGGTGGATTTTTATTTAGATAGGTAACAATATCTAAAAACCCAATTATTTTATGGGCATGAAAATTTAATCTTTAAAAATAGATAAATATTATTATTTTTTATTTCCCGAAAATACAGTCAGGGTTTAAACAAATCTGGGTTAAGATTTTCTTTAAATATAAGGAAATATTTATATTTTCCATTTAACAGCTTAGGGGCATCTGTCATTTTTATGAGATTAAGAGTAGATATAAAAAACACAAGACTAGTTAACTATTTCCTAAATATACATTTGAAAGCATTGAATATTGTCATGTTTATTTTTTTTTTAAAGTTTACTATTTTTTTAATGATAAAATACATCCAAATTCGATTCAGACACGTTTGTAAAAATTGGATTTTAGATGTTGTGACTTTGCTATGAAAGGTGGAAAGTAGCGCAATATGTCTTCCATTTTTATCCCGATAAAACCTGGTGGCATATATTCTAGTAATATATCATATAATACATTTTTTTTTAAAAATTGCATATTGACATGTTATATGTGATTGTTATAAATCTTATAAAAAGAAATTGTTCATATTTAGCTTTGTTTTCCAGGTTATTTATCCAAAATATCATGCCTAAATATTATGAAGATGTTGAAGAACTCAACCAGAAAAAGAAATTTGCTTGTGAAGGCCTTAGGGATGATCTTCTGGAGTGTCTAAGTAAATCTGATTGTGTCAAGAAGGTAGTATAACTTGTATTTCTATTCTTAATTCTTAATAAATATTTAACTTCTGGTCTTATCGCCCACTAGTTTGTTTAAGAATTAAGTATTGATTATTTATAAATGCATTGAATTTAGAAATGTGATGTATTAATAAGTAAATATTTTCCCAATTGTTTCATAAGTTGTATCCCATTTTCACACTATTTCCCATTTCTTGTGTTCAGGATATGTTAATTTTTAATTCAAATATATGAGCATCAATTAAAATTAACTAAAAGTTAAAATGAAATTATATTGCTTTTAATTTTCAGGATAAAAAAACTCCTCGTGAATGTATGCATGATTCATTATTGCCACAGGAGTGTGCTACATTAAGAGTTTCGTTTTTTGAGTGTAAAAGGTCAATGGTAAGTTATTTAACATATATTCTAAGCCTTTGAGTTGCAAAGTTAAAATATCTAACAATCGTAAAAGCTGCTGGTTTTTTATCAAAATATTAAACTTATGGGGTACAACCATAAGGAAAAAAAATATTTTATTTTTGGGGAGAAAAGAGCAAGTAGATTGGTTCAGCTTTCATATCATTTGTTTTTGTCATGGCTTTGCTGAGTAAACATAGATTGTGTGATGATACTGTGAATTGAGAGGAAAGAAATTATTCAGATTAAAAGAATTCATGTTTTATACAATTTAAAAGCCTATATTGATATATCTGTGCATTTTTTGTCATTCATACTGTGCATCATATTTGATAACCTACTGAGTTATTTACTTATTTACAAACCAACAACTGTTCAATTAGTTGAGCTATTTCATGTAATTATAAAGAAAGACTCGACTAAACCACCATGGCTCCTGTTTTTTTGTTTGTTATTGTTTTTTTGTTTAGTCAATTTGTATGCATAATACAATAAGTATGCCTTAAAATTTAAGTTCTAAAAGTAAAAACGTTTACAAATCCTGAAATATATAGCTTTATTGGCATGTCTGGGATTATGTAAAACAAATTTTCCAAAAAAATAACCTTTGTCATAACATTTCATTATTTGTACTATCAAAGACTTTGCTCAGTGATTATCAGCCACGCTAGATAGGGGGTGGGCTACCTTTTTTGAGAAGAAAAAATGGAGATATACATTTTTTTGGAAGGCCACATGATAATTTTCTTAGCATAGGTTGTCCACCCCTGAGGTAGATGATGACCAACATTATATATTTCAAAGACTGTTAATTTCAAATAATGACTTTCTGACTTTTAAAACTTAAAGTGTAATGAACCTTTTCTAGTTATATTCCCTTATCTTTCAGTTTAAATATTGAATTTAAATCTTACATTTTCATGGTTTTATAACAATATGCTCAGACTGAATTTTATTCTTAAATGTCATCCACAGCTTGACATGCGAACAAGATTCAGAGGAAGAAAGTACTACTAATGAATTGAAATAAAATTGATAAATATATAGTTGAATTAGTTTTGAGCAAAACCAGAATTAAATGCAGTGTAAATACTTAGCCTCACTTCCAAAACTGTAAGTTTCATTGTGTGTGATGTGTAAGAGAACTTACACTCAATCAATGCTATTTATATCTGATTTAATTAAATTGAAGAAAAATCACCCCCAGGCCTAATGAATACATGCATTTGTGACTAGGAGTTTTATATGGTTTAAGAATATTTGCCACCATTTATTAACCTGCTCATGTCTTTTTGCTCATAGAATATAATGCACCAAAAACAGAAATATTAAAGTCTTTTACAATGCACTATCTCATCTGTATCATTAATACAGTTATTATTTTTCAATAAAATTGCTTAAAAGCCTGTTTTAAGAAAGGAACTTTCATTATTTTATATCATAGGGTTGCAATATGCATGATTAAGCCTTATTGCATGCTTTCTGTAAGTTCTGTGTATAATTTATTGTGATGGTTGTTAGGGTGAGGTTGGTTGACAGAAAATAGCCTGCAACAAGTTCAGTGTGACTTAGAATTTTTATGTTAGAGAGTGTCTTGTCAGTGCTGGGGTCTATCAATGACAAAGTGGCACTGGAAATCTGTGAAATTTCCTCATCAACACCAGGAACAGAAACATTGCAAATCCCATCTACATGCATAGGAGCCAAAATGATCAATAAATTGATCGTGGGCCCTTAAGATATAGAAGAAGAAGAAGAAGAAGAAGTTTTGACATGTATAGGTAAAAATGGAAATAGATGTATTCCTTGTTGAGATAAGTTCATGATGAAAAAAAATTAAACTATCCCTATTCTTAATGTTGTTCATGTTATATCATTTGAATGAAAGTCATTGTTTGTAAATGTTTTTTTTGGTAAAAAAATGGATCTTACATCTATGAAACCCTCGTTCATTTATTTAGGTTCACTTTTTCCATACCAATTTTATTTTGGAAATGATAGCTCAGTTGATAAAACTGACAGAGAAATTGTTGAAACATGAGGCTTTAGGGTTATGAAAACATTATGACTTTTATCATAGGATAATAAGGCATGTTGTAATGCAAAATTAACTTGAACTCAATGGGCTTGATCACCAACCTGTTAAGTGTATGAGTTCTGCTCATGCAATGCGTTTTGCCTTTGATGAAGCAAGTAATAGGTTACCTCAAATGTTAGCTTATCTTTTCATTGATTATTATATTTTAATAATGAATTACTGACTGATTACTTCCAGTTTGATCAGAATATAGTAGTAAATACTTTTTTCAAAATTGCTTTTTATTAAACATTTAGTGTAGCCTTTAAAATTTCCGTTGGGTCCCTTTCTGGAGAAAGTCAATTAAATATGAAAAGATCGTGGGCCTTAAAAAAACATTTAGACGATCAAAAGAGCATTTAAAACGTGATTAATATTTTAGTTGTTTCCCCTTGGGCTGCGATAAGTGATGAAGTGTCAATACCGGTACATTGTCATTGATTGTTTTTAGTAAATTAACTGGTAGCATTCATTATGATGTTCTTTAGATTTTCTTATAATCTTACATACTGGTATAGTATATTTATCTATCTGGCAAAAATAAGATACAAATTTGATTTAAAATTGTAAACTTCTTGAATCTGTTAAGCCAGGTGTAGAGTAGTTCAGAAAAGGCTAAAAAAATCACATACAATATAACAACTATTGCATTAATTGGATATTGCGGACAAGCTTGAACAGCTTCTAAACCAGAAGTTGCACCTTGTTTATTGTCCAAATATTTTCAGTGTCTTTATGTTTGCATTGGTGGCTCTCAGAAGAATTCAATTTTAATCAAAATGTATAGTAGAAGACTGTCTCAGAACACCAGTCACTTATCTTGGTGTCAAAAACTCGCTTGCACACCATTTTCAAACAAAGTGATACAGACAATGGGCAGACATCATGAAGGCAAGAGGTGTATTTGCTAACATGTCGCTTCCTAGCAGACAGACCCCTCGTGGAAACTGGGTCGCCAACATTTCAGGAGACCCAAATGAGAACCCAGCACTGCTCTACTAACCAACTAAAAGCATACTTTAATAAACTAGACAGCAACAGGGACCCGACCTGCAGGGACGCTGGTCCCAGAGACAATAGCTCATCTGTTGGCAGAGTGCCCTGCCTTAGATTTTGCGGGGGATGTTATATGGCACAGCCCAGTAGATGGAGCTGGTTGCCGATTGTACTAGTACTAGCCAGGGCTTTAAGAGTGTAAGCTCAAGCCTCAACCAGAATATGAATGTTAGTTGAGGACAAAATACAATAAAAGGCCATTATCACATGATACAAAGTCGAATTGTGTAATTTGAAGTTTTTATTTATTAAAATCCTTTAAAAAAACAATTCTTAAACAGCAAACATTTTAAAATTTTGTAAAGATTCTGATAAAATCTTCCGTAAATTTTAATTTTTTCATTTCAGCAGTTAAAATAACAAGTCAACACCAACAAAGAGTTGCACAGTTTTTGTCAACACAATACATCAACATAATTTGTAAATATCAAGTCAACAATCAATTCATTATTAAAAATATATCATTTAAATTTTAATAATGGCCCTTAAAACAATCACTCTTCCCTTTCAGTAATGACCTATCACAATGCAGATAATATCAAAAGAGGAGAGAAAAATGCTCCCTCCACATCTCCTTGCTTATGGTGGATGTTGATATTGTTTATTTACGTCCAACAGATATGCTTTCACTTTCAACATCGTTAAACAAGATATCTGAACCTTAACAAGATTGCACAATTAGCTGAATATTAATAGCTTCAGCAGCTGAATTAAAAGATAGGGTAAAGTTGGATGCTATGGTACACTCTGTGGTTACTGTATGCCTTACCATTAATTACCTTGTTGGTGGAGAGAGATTTTCTATTTACTCAAACACAGAAAAGTTCTCTGTACCATATAATCCAAACACATTATTGTTTACATTATTATAAAATTAGGAACAGGAATGTGGTATTTGGCAAGTAGATTTGAGTAAGTGACTCAGTAAACAGTGTGCCAGTATAATTTGTATTTTTTAATTAAAAGATCACATTATGCAGTCAAACATTTCACAAGTCACTGAGTTGACTTTGCCTGGCTGTGAGGGTGTATCGTAAGGCGCATTCAAAATAAACAAGATCTTCCTGAAGTGGTGAAATCTTTAAAACATTTTGATATTATTATGTAGTGCTAATGTCTACAGCATTGCCAAAAAGATTAAATTTGTGTCTGTTTTTAAAATCATATTAAAAAGTTTTGCCTCAGTGAAATAACTTGTAAACTGATATTTACTCCACTCTGGGAGTTAATTGTACTGCTAATTGTAATATCATATTCATATAACTGATATCAGTTACATTTTAAAAATCCTCATTTTAAGTGCACTGAGTATTCATCAAATTTGTTTACATGATGCTAATGAGAATTAAACTTAAAGCTTGATACAAGATAATAATATGTATACATGACTTGGAATATTTGAGATAGAATTATTGGCTTTTTATTAGATGAAAGGTAAGAATTTCAGCTCATCCCAGAAGTTCTATTGTCCGTTGATTTTTGGCTACCATTTTTACAAATAAATGTTAATTTACTAGTGAAGAGTTTGTTCTCACGTCAGCAGCATTGCCGTTGCTCATGACTGAGGGAGGTAAAACATCACTACTTTGTTTCCTAATGAGGGGCTCTCTCTCAGAATCTTCAGCATTTCTGTGGAGATCCTGTTAAAACATAACCAAAATATAATTGAATATCTATGTATGATTCAATAATTACACATAATTTACATTTAATATACACTAGTGATAGAATAAAACATGACCCATCCACATAACATCCATTTTAATCAACCTGTGGAGCCTGTTTGTTTAATTTACTGTGCATGATGACACAAAATCATCAAATCTTTCTGCCTTAATTCATCTCACTGAGTGCAGCCCACATATAATGGATTAACTTGTAATGTAATAAAAATTAGACTTTCTATCCCCAGTGGTGTAAGAGATTTTTTTTTTTACATGTGGCAAAGAGTGTAATCCTTTAAAATCTATTCATGTGGTCTACATAGCAGACAAAGTAACACATTCATATTTAAATTTATCTGGTATGTGAGAAATATGTGTAACTTAAATATAATATAATTTATTTCTTAGGTCATATCAAATAATACAAAATTGGTAATGATAGGCAATTTAAAGCAAGCAATTACCCCCAAATGAAACCACAAGAAACTTTATCTTAACCATGTTTCTGTATGTTTTTTTTCTGTTCTGTTTTGTAAAAGTTATGTAACAGCATAAAAATGGCACAAGGAAAATAAATACTTTATTCTCCATGTCAGTTTTAAACTAACATAAAATGCCTTCACTAAAGTGAGAGAATATAGGGAAATTAATGACATGAGTAATGTATGAAGGAAGTTTATTCTAAATTTATTTTAAAATGATGGGGCCAATTATTCTTTTCACGTTCCATAAACTATACATAAGAAACCGAAACCTAGAGGACAAACCTTGCTGCTTTTTCGTTTCCAAAAGATAACGAAACCAAGAGCTACAATGAAAATAACAGCACTAGAGGCAAAAACTCCTGCTCTGACTCCAGGCATGGCATCAAGTGGGTCTTGGATTAGATGCTTGAGAAGTGCAGCTGTATCAGGATCTATAGCTGCCATCTGAAATAACAATCATTATAATTATCTCTCAACAACAGTTGAAAATTTGACGCATTGAAGTTCACTTAAACTTAAATTACAAAAATGCTAACATATTCTTTTAAGTTACTTGTTTAATTGTTAATAAGAGTTTATCTTAATTTACCAGGAAATGAGCAAGAGAAAGTATGAGAAAACCTGAAAAAAGGACACATAAAAAAAACAAACATGTCTGCAAGAAGCCTTTTCCAGCAAACAAACAGTAAAAACAAAATAAAATAAAAATAACACTTAGCTGCAATGTAGTATCTGAGAGAACAGGAAGAAGAATGTGATGGAACAAAAGTAGGTGAGAGATTAAATACAGGCAAGTGATGTGAATTTATTGGAGGGGTGAAAAGAGCCTGCAAAGTTGATGGAAAGTTGAATTCACATAACTTATTTCTGAGACCTCAGCTAACTTTTTGGACACTACAGTCACCCTTCACAAAGACAGACTTTTGCATTTTATAATTACATTATGTAATTTGTTTATACCATTGCAATTAAACCACTTATATATTCAATACTTACACCATCAATCCATAAAATAGGTAAGTAAGCAACAGGGAAAGTCTTAAATTTTCTGTTAGATAATAAAAAAAGTATTTGGAAAATGAATATTGACTATGTAAGATAAGATATGGTGCATTTTATTTGACTATTTAAGATAAGATATGGTGCATTTTATTGATTGTAATAAATGGGGTTTGTTACATTATAAATATTACTTTCAGCAAAAAAAAAAACACAGCTTCATAGTCATCATGTTTTTGTTGTTTTTAAAATGTGATTTGCAGTAACTTTTAAGCATGGCATTAGGAGAACCAGTTAATGATCAGTTTCTCAAGGGGGCAAATGGACTGTGAAATGTGTTGGCTTAAAAGTTGATATTCTCTACTTTCATCAGAAATGTTCCTTTAAATATTTTAATGATTTAATTTTTTTTTAGGTTTTTAAATTGTGAAGAGAACAAAAGTTAATATGAAAATAATTTACGCTAACTGACTTAAGTAAAATTATGGCAATAACTTAAATAAAATAAGTTAAAAACAAACCACCTTTCATGGCAATAAGATTTTAATATTTTAATTAAATGCTTTCAAATTAAGA